TTTTAAAGTGAGCTGGAGAATTTTTAGAGTGACATGGATTAGACCAGTGGTGGCTAACCCTTTTGGGCTCCTGTGCCAAAATTGTGCATGCACTTGCACGCTCGCACTCGTGTGCCAGCACCCAGAAGGCAATGCACACCCCTCCACATCTGCACGTAATCCCCACCCCGCACCGCCTCCTTACCTGCACTGCGCCTCACAGCTGACTTTTTGGCCTCCCAAAGGCTTGGGATAGGCTTCTGCAGGCTGAAAACTAGCCCCATTTTGTCACTTCCAGTATTTTTGGAAGAACAGGAAATGATGAAACGAGGCTAGTTTTCGGCCTGCAGAAGCCTTCCTCAAACCTTTGGAAGGCCAAAAAAGGCCTCAAACCAGCTGAAAATCAGCTGTGAGGCACGTACATGCGTACTGAGGTAAGTTGGCCTGCAGCTTTTGTGCCAGCACAAATGGCTCTGCATGCCACCTGTGGCATGCGTGCCATAGGTTCGCCATCACGGGATTAGACATATCTCTTGCTTGAACTTAGCTAGACTGGATGGTGATATATCTATTGCCCCCCTTTAAACTCCTTGTATTTTGACTAATGTTGAATATGCCATAGCAAAGTAAACAAAGATAGGCAACAACTTCTGAAGATTTATTGACTACAAAATAAGCATAAATAAGGCATCCTTATTCTGAATGATTGCTAATGATTAAACAAAATGAGAGGGCTAGCAAATTGTTAGAGTACTTCATAATGCCCTCTTTTGTTTTCGCCATAATAGAGTAGATCAAAAAATATTGCAGAAAAATCCACAGTAATAACAGAATGAGATATAGTTACCTAACACGATGAAGGGAATTCCCAGGAAGGTAGAATTATATTTCCCACCAGTCAGATTAATGATTCCAGCTGCAGTGAGAGTGGCCAGAGTCACAGTTAACAAGCCAAGGAGGCCAAGCCAAGGTTTGCTGCGGACACAGTCTTGCATTGAACAACAGAGCATTGCCAAGGTCACCACAAGGACCAGGCTTGTGGTTAGGTAATGTTCTGATATCCTACTTGTCTTCTGGAAGTCTTTTTGAAGGGATGATGAAGTGAAAGGATACATTGTGACATTCCGGTTGGATTTCTGGAAAAGTTCTACTGTGTCACAGAAGTTGGATTCCCACTTTTCTGCTACAATGTCATTTAAGGAATTGATCGCCTGCAAGTAATAGGTAAGCTGAATAGCTTCAGCAGACTTTACCCGATCTTTGCTGTGCACAGTGACTCCACCAAGCTGATGCCCATTGTATACTTCCCTGCCATCCTTTAAGTGTGTGATTGGATATGTGATAGCAAAATTAGTTTGATTAGACAAGCGAGCAGCCTTCAGTTCCTTCAGGATATGTACAATATCATCCACTATGCAGGACTTGTCATTATTTAGGATGCAGATATGAGCAAATGTGTAATTGAAACCAGGTCTTTGTACTTGGATCCTGGTCACAGCAGAATGCAACTACAAGGGAGAGAGGGAAAAAAAACACACATATTATTTATCATTTGATAATCTTGCATTATAGCAACAGAACAGCAGTGGCAACTAGAACAACTTAATGTTTTTTCTTATCTGCCCAAGCAAGCAGGATTTGATAACCAAAACAGTAATAAGTACCCTCTGAAATTTTTTTTTAAAAATGCATTAAAGTATTGTTAACATTCCCCAACACTATTTTGCACAACTTAATTTAACTTCTGGCAAAAGAAACATCCTGGGTTCATTGCTTCTGTCTTTTCATACATCCAAATAGACTCTCCCCACCTTTAAGAAAGCAAACAAGTTTCAGTTCAGAAGTTCTCTCTCTATTAGGAGCAAAAAAGAACTTTGCTGCAATCAGATCAAAACTCCTTCCTTATCTAAAAAAAATGAAACAAATCAATAATAGTCCCACACCATTAACTACAATTGTGTTCAGAGGTGGTATTCAGCAGGTTCTGACCAGTTCTGGAGAACTGATAGTAGAAATTTTGAGTAGTTCAGAGAACTGGCAAATATCACCTCTGACTGTAGATTTTAAAATATCCTTTCCCTGCCACGTCCACCAAGCCATGCCCACAGAATCGGTAGTAAAAAAAAAAAAAGAATTCCACCACTGATTGTGTTTGAATTGAATAGATCCCTGCATGGTCATATCCATGTACTTTTTTTTGGCAACATCATACCAATTTGTCCAAGATGTTTTCTAATTCTCCAACCTAGTCTATAGTCCTGATACTCTCTGGTAAGTATTTTTTTAAAAAATTTCCCAACTGGAGTTCTTGTTTTCCTTTCTCAAGCTAAGTGAATAGCCAGCACATGTTTATATGGTCTACATTCTTCCTCCAAATCTCTATTGATTTCCCTTTAATTAATTTGAACAGAGCAGCTCAGAGCTTTCACATTTTCTGATGGAATGGTTATATTACTATGTGAATTCAAATGTGAATACAAAGAACTGGAAGCATTTTGAAAATGAATCATTGCATCTGGTGTGTTTAACACATTTTATAGACTTCTTAATTATTATTTTATTTCTGGATTATGCAGATAACAAACAGAGGATATTGCTGAAATAGATAACCCAGACTTATTTACTGCAGCAGCAATTATTTCTATTTTGTTTTACATCATAGTTGTGGAAAACTAATGTACAAAAATCAGAAGATGGCTAACTGAACACATGTCTGGGGAGAGATATCTGAAGGATTTTTCCCTGTGGTATAGCTCTTCTGCCTTCTAACTGAAGGGACTGGCATCCCATGCCCCTCCTATAAGGGATAAAAGATGAATGATGAAAAGCTTTGCAGAAGCTTTGTGAAGCTCTATACTCTGGTTGGTTTTTTTCTGGGTTTTGGGGTTGGTTTATGTTAGCCTTAATTGGACTTCTGTTTTTTTGGCAGCATTCTACAGCACTGAAAGGCGTGCTCTTATCCGGAGGAACTGTGTATAATTAGTTTTGGCTGAGAATTCAAGTAATTCCCAGCGTCGCATTAAAATAGATTTTACTTTTAAATTCAGTTTATGTTTTATTAAGTTTGATGAAGCCTGGGTCAGAACAAAGGGGGCTGGCCCTGCCTAACCTAACACCCCACCCCAAGGTTCAGGCTTGAAGAAAGATGGAGCGCCCTTGCCAAAAATACTCGCCTGTGAGTCGGTTTTCCCCCTCTCTCTTTGTCCCTCTCTCTGTATGTGTGTATCTCTCTTCCGGTCTCAGTCTCTGCATCTCTTCTCTCTAGGAAAGCCATGGCTGGGACAAGCCAGCAAGCTCTCTTTGGGGCTCTTGACTATTCCTTTTATTTCTTCTTTCTGGAAATCTGGGCTGGCTTAGGAATGATAGCCAGCTGCAGCAGAGGCTTCCCTTCAGGCGACTCTGCCCCCCTCCTTCTCCTCTTGTGACTGGGGGCTGTGGTGGGGCTGGGAGGGTGCACACACATAGGGAGACCCTCCTTAAGTGAGCACCAAAGCGTAGCAAAGGCACGCATGGAGAGGGCAGCTGCTTGCTTAAAGAGGGTCTTAACAGGATGCAGCTTCTCTCCTGCACTAAGGCTCCGGCCATCACCGTGCCATGTCGTCATTCCCCCCCCCCCCCCCGGTGAGAAAGGGAGAGAAAGATACAGAGGGGGGAGAGATACAAAGAGAGACAGATATGGGGGGGAGACAGATACAGAGGGAGAGAGAGATATACAGAAAGAGGGGGGAAGAGAGGAGAGAGATAGAGGAGGGAAGATAGGGAGTGGGGGAGAAAGAAAGGGGAGAGAGAGATACAGAGAGAGGGGGAGAGAGAGATACAAAGAGAGATACAGAGGGGGGAGAAAGACAGATACAGAGAGAGAGGGAGAGAAGGAGAGGGGCAGAGAGATACAGAGAGACATAGAGCGAGAGAGAAGGATTTTGTGGCTGAGTAGGCAATGGCTATGGGGGGGTCATGTGACTGTGTGGGAGTGAGTGAGATCAAGTTGGCCATGCCCACCCAGGTTTTGTGGCATCCAGTGGTTAAATTCTGGGTCCAAACAGTCCAAATGGCTTTTTGAGTGTTTAAGGTTGCAGACCCCTGCTCTAAATGCTATCACTTTTTGGCCCATCCTCTTGGACACTTCTCCCTTCTCTACCAAGTTCAATTGTCTCATTTTCAAGTTATCTACATTTAACCCTGTCTATCTCCCAAAGGAAGCTCCCTGCAATTCCAATTCCTGTTTAACTTCACTTAACATATACTTCCCTTGGTTATATCCTCAATCATTATTGTTTTTATTTTTATCTCCATCTTATCATTTGGGTTTTTTATTTGTTGTTTTGTTTGTTGTAGTTTTCCAACTGCTCTTTCGGTTAACTTCTCCTCTTCCTGGACATCCTGTTTTCTCTTTGTCATTTGTGTCCTAATTTCCAGTTCTACAACCATGCTTTGTATTTTATTCAAGATCTCCTCACATCTTCTGGTCAAAGTATCCTTCATATCCTGAATTTCTAATGCAATTTCTTCCCAAATTCCACTTATCTTTGTTTGTTTCTTTTATTTCTTTTTGTCCAATAATCCAACAATATTTTATTCAAGCCAAAGTCACTTCTCAAACAAAGAGTTCAGTGTCCAATGTCCAGGAGTCTTTGTATCTCCAAGTTGGTCAATCTGTTATTCTGGATAATCCAAAAGTAAAATCAGTCAATATTAAAGCCTTCAGGGATCTTTTTAATGGTAAACTTTTCCTTAGTCTCCCCTTTGAGTCTTCCAATGTCAGGCCTTTATCAGAATTTTGGGAATATATTGTACCTTCCTGTCAGATCCGTGTATCTGCCATTCTTCAATGGAAGAAGAGGGGGGTGGGGAGTTGGTACAAGTAATCCTTTTTGATGTAACCTGAATATATTAAATCTTGTATTGAATCTGTATAACCTACACATGATATACAACTGGAGGATTGGAGCCAGATGTCCAGAAATTTGTCACCTCTTGAAGAGATAGCAAGCGGAGAAGGGACCATACGTATTCCAGCTCCGGAAGATACTCCCTGGGAACTCTTCAAAAGATACGTTCTCAGAGAAGGGGAGGGGGGAATTAACACGTTGGTTCTTTGCTTGACAAAATACACATCTAAATAAGGGGAGGGGTCCTAACTATTATTGCATGCCTGGGAGTATTTAGACTCTGCTTTGACTAGTGCTGGGATCACTCCCTTTCAATAAAGAATTCCTTTTGAAATGCTTATTTCCAGAAGTTCATTCTTTTCGGTTGAAGGGAAAAAGTCCAGTGATTACACTTCCTTTGACAGCAGGTGGTGCTCTTGTACCAGTTTTCACTTTATCTTTCTCATTTCTTATTTGATTTTACTCATTTCTCCAAAATGAAAATATAATATCAACTTTTTATATAGGTGGTTCCAGCAATTTACAATGCCTATCCACAGTCAACATTTGTCCAATTAAAAAGTCCAATTTTCTGTATTTTTACAAATTTTCGTTTTTCCTCCCTTTCCTTCCGTTTTAAAAATCTAGAAATTTTACTCACTTCTTTGGCTTCACTGCCCCTGCAGGGTAGTTTTGGCTCCTTCTGGAGCCCACAATCACGAAGAAGCCAGTGCAGGGATGGAGAGCTCAGTTCCCTTGTGACTGATATCACCGCGACGTCACTTCCCGTCCCATCTCATCGGTTTCTATTACCCACCTGGCCAGGGTGTGTTGAAGAACTTCCCCTCTGAACCCTCCAATACAGTTGTAAGCCAGCAAATGGCTTCTGGAATTGAACTGCAAAGCTATCTGCATGCCAAAATCTGGGAGGGGAGGGGCTGCAATCTGTTTGGAGTTCAAGAAGCTGCCATTTTGAAATTCACTTTTCAAATGGACAGTAACTTATGCCTTTCTCTTCATAATCACATTCAATCACTTTTAATCTTGTTAAAGTCAACTTAAAAAGAGGCTCTTTCTAGCTACAGCCAGCTATATTTTCTTGAAGACTTGCACCATTTTAGAGATTTCTTTTTGCCTCAAAGAACAAGGAAGATGGCTGCTAAGGCAAGCCAAATATGGAAGTGTGATGAGAAAAAAATGCTGACAGAGAAAGATAAAGATTGAAAGCTGTGATTCTAGTTTATTATTTCAGTAACTGGTAGCTTTATCTTCTTAGCTGTGGGTGGCTAAAATCTTATTCTGATTAAAAGAGGAAGCCAAGATGGTGGAACAAAGTATTAGAGATATATTTGAAAGGTCTCTAAATAAAATACGCCATTTTGTTGACCAGCTGTTCTCTGATGATAAAAAAATTCTCTCAAATTACTTCTGAGATGCAAACATGTGGAGAATTTACCACACTGCCATGGCAATTTCACAAGTAGCTGAAATGCAGAGGAGTTTATCACAGTTTTGGAAGAACTTGATATTAACGTTCGCTACTATGGTTCAAATATAAACCTCTCAACACAACTGAAAGAAAGAAGACAAATTTGCGACTTCTTCTTTAAGGACATTAACAAGGTTGAGGTTATGTAGACAGGAAACACAGTGTCAGACATAAAGATCTCAAGTGCCTATATACAAATGCACAAAGTCTGGGGAACAAACAGGGTGAACTCGAACTACGAATCCATGAAGATAAATATGATATAGTTGGAATAACAGAAACTTGGTGGGATGAAACCCATGACTGGAACATACTGGCAGAAGGATACAAACTATTCAAAAAAACCAAACCCCATAAAAGAGGAGGTGGAGTTGCACTGTATGTAAAGGACCACTATATTGCTACATAAATGCATGAAACCAAAGATGAAAACCTCCTAGAATGCATATGGGTCAATATAAAAGAAAAAAATAATGACATGGCCCTAGGTGTGTATTATAGGCCACCCAATCAAGCAGAAAAAATAGATGTCCTTTTTGCCAGCCAACTAACAAACATATGCAGGAAACACACAACAATAGTAATGGGAGACTTCAATTATCCTGATATCAATTGGAAAACTAATTCTGCACCAAGTGAGAAATCAAATTAGTTCCTAAACAACCTAGCTGACAACTTTGTTGTCCAAAAGGTAGAGGGTGAAACTAGAGGGACAGCCATACTGGACTTCTTACAAACAGAGAAGAAGTGATAGAGGGAGTTGAAACTGCAGGAACCTTGGGTGAGAGTGACCATGTCATACTAAAATTCAACATTACACAAGCACAAGCAACAGAAAATAATGTCACCAGAGTCTTGGATTTTAAAAGAGCTGATTTCAATAAACTCAGAGAGAACTTGGGAAAGATTCCATGGATGAAAATCCTAAAGGGGAAAACAACTCAAGAATCTTGGGAAACTCTAAAAAGTATGATCATAGACGCCCAGACCAGCACAATACCACTGAGAAAGAAAAACAAGAAATCCAAGAAGAAACCAGCATGGCTACACAAAGATCTCTCTGGCAAATTGAAAGAAAAAGGCCGTTGGTACTTACCTGATACTCCCGTTCTCTGTGAGCTGTGAAGAGCATCCAGAAGTGGGAGGTGCTTCAGTCTCTTCTGGAAAGGCTGGGCTTAAAACTCCGGGACGCTCCTCCTCCTCCATGGGACACCTCCTCAGTGTCCCCCAGTTTTGCGAAGACTGAGTGCCAAAGTCTGGGACTCATCACCTAATCTAGATCCCTGACTGGAACGGAACCCCACCAGATGGAAAGAAATGGGTGGGGCTGGATGCTCTTCACAGCTCACAGAGAATGGGCGTATCAGGTAAGTACCAATGCCCTTTCTCCCATGAGCTGTTCAGAGCATCCAGAAGTGGGACATACCAAAGCTTGGCCTGACCTTAGAGAGGGACTCGGTGTGGATCGAAATCCACTCCTAAACTCTGTGGACCCTCTGCAGGACTCTTCTGCCAAATGAAGCATCCGCTGAGGCATAGACATCAATTTTATAATTTCTGACAAAGGGAGATGGTGAAGCCCAAGTTGCCGCTCTGCAAATTTTGTCTATGGAAGCCCGTGTGGCCCATGCTGCTGATGTTGCCGCACTCCTTGTTGAGTGGGCTGTAATGCCCTTAGGAACTGAGATGGACTGGCATTCGTAACTTTTAGCTATGGTGGCTCTCAACCATCTACCAATGGTCGTCGACAACATCTTTTGCCCTAAAGTGGATGGGTTGAAGGATAGGAATAGAGCCTCAGATTTTCGAAATGCCACCGTGCGGTCTAGATAGATGCTTAAGGCCCTTCAAATGTCAAGTTGATGCCATTGATGCTCCAGTCTATGAGATGGTTTCGGACAAAAATATGGAAGCACCAACTCCTGCACTCCGTGGAAGGCTGAATTTACTTTAGGAGTGAATGATGGATCCAATCAGAGAATCACTCTGTCCGCATGAAATACGCACAGGTCCTTTCTCATTGACAATGCCGCCAATTCGGAAATCCTCCTCGCTGATGTGATTGCAATTAGGAAGGCCACCTTATATGTCAGGAATTTAAGACTAGTGGTTCTTAAAGACTCAAATGGGCCAGTTGTAAGTGCGGTTAACACCTTGTTGAGGTCCCAGGTGGGATAGCGGTGAATTACAGGAGGTCCTAAGTTTGCAGCACCGTTAAGAAAGCTGCGGACATGTGAATGGTGCGCTATGGAACAGAGGTCACCCCAGGCTATCACCAAGGGTAAAGCCACCACCTGTCTGCATAAAGTATTTGGAGATAGGCCCTTGGTCAACCCCTCCTGTAAAAAGTCCAATAATTGTCCTATTGATGGGGCAGTTGGGTCGATCTTAGACCCCTGGCACCAGCGACAGAAGGTGGACCACGTGGTCTCGTATATATGATTTGTTGAGGACCGTCTGGATGCTTGAATGGTGACAATAGCATCCTCTGAAATCTGTTGGGCCCTTAAACGGCTCCGCTCAACCTCCATATGGCTAGACTGAGCCATTGTGGGTTTGGGTGAAGTATTGGCCCTTGGGAGAGGGAAACCTTTGACGGTGGAATTTCCAAGGTTGTTCTCTCGACAGGTCCTGTAAGTCTGCGAACCATGTTCGCCTGGGCCAGTAAGGGGCGACCAATATCAATTCCACTCATTCCTCCAATAACTTCTGGATCAACCTGGGTATTACCGGGAGTGGAGGAAATGCATATAGAAGTCCGGGAGGCCACTGACATCGCAGGGCATTGATGGCCTCCGCCCCCTGAGTCGGGTACCTTGAAATATACCGGGGCAATTGGGCATTGAGTGGACAGGCAAATAGATCGATCACCGGTTGCCCCAACCGCCACACTGCTTCCTGGAAGACAGACAGGTGTAGGCGCCACTCTGCCTGATCTATCGTGGCCCTACTGAGCCAGTCCACTTGTGTGTTTAAGGCCCCTGCTATGTGTTCTGCCTTGAGCGAAAACAGATTGGCCTCGGCCCACTTGAACAACTTGGCCGTCTCCAGCATCAGAAGTTTGGAATGGGTACCCCCCTGTCTGTTTACGTGGGCCTTGATTGTGATATTGTCTGTCAAGACCAGAACGTGGCGTGATTGGAAAAGGGGTAGAAAACTGCATAATGCCAGGTGAACTGCTCGCAGCTCCAATGGGTTGATGCTTTGTGATCGTTCGGAAATAGTCCAAATTCCCTGTGCAGTGTGGGATTGGATTCCTGAGTCAATAATGGCTTCCAAATGAAGAAGATGCTTTGTGGGAGAGAAATGACTTTTTTCTGGTTAATGGAAAACCCCAGGTTCTGCAGCACTGATATAGTAGGAAAAGTGGCATTCAAGTAAACTGCTGAGCCTTCTAAAAAGAAGACATTATTAATATGTCATCCAGATAACATTGAAGACACACTGGAAAGGTGTGGAGGTGCACTGCCAAAGGGGCAAAAATTTTGGTAAATTCCCTAGGGGCAGAAGATAACCCAAAGGGAAGGGCCCTGTATTGGAAATGTTTATCCTAATAACAGAACCGAAGAAACCTCCTGTGGGAGGAACAAATAGGAACATGTAAATAGGCTTCCATCAAGTCTATTGATGCGAGGAAGTCCCCCTGCTGAATGCTCTCTAGAATGGAAAAAAAAGAGTATGCATTTTGAAACGCCTGTAAACAACATATTTTTTAGTCGTTTCAAATCGAGAATAGTCCTCCACCACCACCACCCCCGAGGCCTTAGGGATCACAAAAATTCTGGAGAAGAATCCCCACCCCTGTTGATTGAGGGGAACCT